TGTAGAATGGTTTGGGTTGCAAAGGACCTTTAAGATCATCTAGTAATTCAGTGAACAGTTTGCTAGGGAAAAAAACACCAATAACAAAGTAAGAAAACTCCAATTTTACAGAGCACTCTTGATGAACAAGGAAGGGTTCTTTATCACAACAGTATGCACTGATCTCAGGACTGCATTAAAAGGGAAAGAATCAAAACTCCTTTCAGCAGACTGCGAATCCTCTAGTTACTACTGCTACATGTGAAACAACCCAAGCAGCAGTGCGTATCAAGAGACCTCTCATGCTATGTTTATTTAGTAAATGTAATTATTTAGATTCCAATATGCCCACATGCATTCTTCGCACAGTTCGTTTAATAAAGGACAAAAAGGCAGACATTGTGCATAATTCTGTACAAACACAGGAAGACATGTTTCCTGCCACAATGAGTTTACAGCAATTTAAAACACAATGCAATAAGGGAGTGCAATAGAATGCAAGAGGCAAATAAGGGAAGAACAGACAGGAATAACAGCAACTGCAAAAACTCACAGCACTCGCGTTAAGATCTGCATTTGCTACTGGTGAATGGACTTTGAAGAGTGAAATCCTGGTATGAGCACACCTTTGTTCCCCACTTGCCCATAGTCCTTGAATAACCGTACATTTTAGATAGTCAAGCTGCAGTGAACAAAGTAATCTACTTAGAATTTTATTCCAAGTTTCAAGTATCTACACTACAGGACATGTGCCTGTGTGTCATCAGTACTATATGAATTAACATCTTTTACTGCAAGCATAAGTAAGAATTATTTCGCTTGCAGAATTATTTCAGGCTTTTTTTTTTTTAAAACCTAGACAGACCAAACACAATTTGAGTGGAATGCTTATTTCTTCTGCAGAGCTACATCAATACATTTCAATCCTAAAACAAGGCTCCTCTAGATCAGCTTTAACTGCGACTACACTGTTACTGAAAGGTTCCTGAAAGCTTCCTGCTACTTCCATCTTGGAGCTGCACCCAATGATTACCAGCGGGCAGGAACTTGCTAATGCTTGGAAAATTCCTTTTGAAGAAAACCAATAATAATAATAAAACAAACCCACCATAAGAATCTCTGCATCCTAGATTAGCTTTCAGCTATCTACAAACCACTTGACCCCATTCTGCCATCACAGGCTTGAACCAATACAACCAAGAGCTACCGATTGAGCAACGCCACTTCTGATTGAGGTACAATCTTAACCTGCTTTAACTAAACATGACATATAGGATATAACACCCAACAGCAGGTTCAGCTCACATTTGCATACCGCTCAGACCAGGCCGCTAGAAATGTACTTTCAAGTGGATGCAAATGGATAAGGTACATTTGAAACGTACTCTTGGCATGGATCCCCACCTGAAGTAAGCTGCCACTGACTTCAAAGGAACTAGGGATGTACCCTCCTCCAGAGGTATCTTTGGAGATGAGCTCCTCAGGCAATGAAAAAGGAAGGCTCTTAAACTGCTTAAAATATGGATTACTTTCAAAACATTACACCGCATGAGGGATGCTGAAGTGGGTGTGGAGCTACAGATCTACTCAGAAGATTTACTGGGAATGACTGAAATGGTTGTGAAAAATAAAAACTACCAGTATAAAGAGAAAAGCAAATATGAAATAAGAAAAATGCTCTTTTTCACTGAACGTTTCTTTCAGAATAACCTGGTGTCTATTTATTATTTGGACACTTTTCTGTATAAAATTCTGGGATAAATTCTGTAGCATCTTTTCAAATAATTTCAAAACAATTTCTGCTAGAGGAAAAAGGAATGTGTTAATTCCTCTGCTCTAACACAAAATTCAGATGTATGTTGCTGTATGTTATTTATTTAACACACAAAAATCTGTGTACAGAAATAACAAAAGGAGAATTACTATCTCACAACTCATACATCACTGTCACATAACTGTTTTCTGTATCTCAGCTCCTGCACAACAGTGCTCCTAAGATCAACTTCAGCTTTGCTTTTTTTTAATCTCTTGTGGTTTTTGTTTTTTTTTTTAATTGACTCACTTGTGCTCTTCCACCACAGGATTCATCTTTAGAAGTACTTCTCTCTTTTTCTTTCTCTCATACAGATTTCCCACAAAAATCAAGATGAGGACCAGGAGCTGGATTAGCATAGAAGCTCTCTTATCTTAAGAAAGTGGGCCAGGGAATCCCAGTACACCTCACACTCAGCTTTCACCTGGAGGCAAATCCCACTGCAGGCAGCACAGTCAGCACAAGCAGGTCAGCTGGAAGAAAGAGGAGGGAAAAGGGAACTCCCACTATGGCTCCTGACTCCTCAATCTTTCATCCATAAAGCACCACAGGGCTCTGTGTTATCACCAAGTCTGGTAGTAGAGACGTACAGAAGTGACTTACTATGAGCTACCTTTAACAGTTGCGTGCATAGCTGGCATTTTATTATTTACAAAGTCATTAAAAGCAGGTAAGTAATCCTCACAGCTTTCCTTCTTCGCATAAAGAAGTATTGTAGTTGCTACAGATACATTATAAGTAATTATTGGAAAATTACAGGCTTATATTAAAACAATTGATTTAAAAATAGAAAAAACATACAAACAAACCTCTTAGAGAATAGCGACAAGCAAACAACATTCACATGGGGAAGTACAAGCACCTAAACTAGACATCAGGTTTGGGACCACAACAGGGAATGTCAGGTCTGGTGTAAGTGCTTGGTTATGATTTGTTTAGATGTGGCACTATTTACCAGGCAATACGGAACTGTCATTAAGCCTCACCAGATGATAAGTGCCAAACACACTTAATTCAGGTTCCGTATTTGCAAAAGGAAGAGAATAGACCTATAGGGCTGAAAGACTCAGTAAAATGCTTTCAAGGGTACAGTTTTCCCTACTTACTTCATTATGAAGGAATATTAAGTTAGACCATAAAGCCTAAATTAATTCTTTCAGCATGCCCCAGTAACTATAAAATAAGAGCACAGTGCTTTCTATCTTATCACTTTTGTTTACACAACTGAAACACAGGTAAACACTCTTATCAGGTCTTCCACATGCTGAGGAATTGGGAAAAGGATTTACTGATATGCATCAAGCCTACACGTGGAAATCAGTAAAGCTGTTATTTTACCTGCTTCCATGAAAAACAGTAAGTCTGCATTTTTCTACTCTCTCTCACCTCCCCATACACTTTACAGTAAGATATTATGGAGGTGGTAAGGAAGACAATCCAAAGTCTGCTTTTCTGCCCCACTTGTGAGGCCCTGTTAGCAAAGAATGCATTTTACTGAAATAAACTACTTCACCTTCGCAAATTCCTTCCTTCAGAGCATGTCACACTAGAGCTGGGACAGGGACTTTTTGTGAATGGTCCTGACAGGAGCAAAACAGCCATTCTCAGCCTAGCTGGAGCACAACAGACAAAAGATAATTTCATTTCAGGGAGCATTCTGAAGAAATGTGATATATAAAGCACCCCAAGTAGATGGGCACAGACCTGGAAATGTAAGAGAGCTTCAGCCAGTCAGTCAATGGAGTTTGGGAGCTTCAAAGCCAGAAATAATATCCTTGAGAACATTTACACAAAAGGCCAATTGGAGGCACACAACTATTTTAAAAGTTTCACACCAGGTAGAACCGATCCTCACATCAGCTGCTGTCAGAGTTTCATTTACTTCATTGAAATATCTTGTTTGGTCAGTTCTACCACTGTAATTTACTTTAAACATAGTGAAACCTTAACTAAAGTGGCAACCTGACATTAAGCAGCCACTTAAAAGCAGCTCCAGATTACCACTCCACTCTTTGTGGTGAGGCTTTGGGCACAGTAAAGCTTGGAGCCAGATTCCACTTTCCCTTCATTTTTCAGATCCCTTCAATGCAAACTCCAAAGCCAGGCAGCACTACCACAGACATGTACTGTCAGTGGAACCAGCCAAAACATGCCCTCGAGTCTGAGGTGGTCTTTTCAGCAAAGGTTGGGAAATAGCCCAAAACTGCGATCACTGTTCTGGTTTTTAAACCCCACTTCAAAGCCAAAAAAGTTGATTTTCCTCTCCTGCTGCTTAAGGCAAATTTAACTGGATACACACATGGCGTAAGTGCCAAACCCATTTAGAGTTGGAGTAACTTGCAAAACATACAGGGGGAAGATTCTGTTGTTCTTACTCACTTTAAACAGCTCAACTGAACTAATGGGACTTTGCAATGCAATTAAGAAAAGTAGGATCCAATCCAAAAAGAATATGCACATTTCATAGCTGGAAAACAGACTCCACACCAAGCACAGAAGTTATCTGGAGAGGCTTCTGAGTGGCCATTTAATGGACAGTTATTTATGTGAAAAAGCAGTTGTACAATCATACACCGGGACTTTTTTTTTTTTCCTACAGCCAAGAGCTAAATGAAGTCTTGTATCTATCAGAAGTGTTTGCTAGCAGAGAGAAGCCTTCAAGAAGGGTGCTGTGTGGAAGAGTCTGTCAGCATTAACCCAACGGAAAACAACACACCTAACATTACATTAATGCAGAACACAACAGCGTTCACCACAGAGAAGAACTTACACAAGATAAAGCGTGAGGCTCTTCCAGAGAAACCCCAGCCCGCTTTTACGCACATGCACATCCATAAGTAAACCGAGAGCTACAGATGAACGATCCAAACACATCCGGAGAGACCCTCCTGTGGAGCAGGAGCCCGAAAGGCGGAGGGAAAGGTTGCTCCGGGGCCGCCGCTCGGCCCGGCAGCCCGGTGCAGGTGCCCGAGGGCAGCGCTGCGAGGCCGGCTCCCGCCCCACCCGCGGGGGTCCCCGCCACCCGCAGCCCTCCCTCGCTCCTTCCCCACCCTCTCCCCCTCCTCCATCACTTCCTCTCCCCGCCGGCCCCTCTTCCCCTCACCTCAGCCCCTCTTCCTCTCCCCGGACGTCCCGCCGCAGCCCTCGCCTCGCCTCGCCTCGCCCCCCGCCTCCTCCTCCTCCCCCCCCCCCCTCCGCTCTCACTCACCCTCCCGGGCTTTCAGCAGCACCGTGTTGGCCACGATGTTCTCGATTTCCATGGTCGGGGGCTCCTTCCCCTCAGGGCAGCCGGAGTGGAGGCCGCCCCTGCTGCCTCCTTCGCCCCCTCCTCCAGCCCCGCCACCGCCGCGACGCCAAGCCGCCGCTCATCCGGCCCCGCGGGACCTCAGCGCCGCGCTCGCCTCTTCCCCATCACCCGCCGCTCGCTCCGACACCGGCCTCCCCCCTCCCCGAGGGCGGAGGCAAGGAGCAGGCAGCGCCCGCCCCGACCATCGCTCAAGCGCCCGCCTCAGCCGGCTCCGCCCCGCCGCCGTCCCCGCCCCTCTCCCCTTAGAACTACAACTCCCAGAAGGCATCGCAAGACAGAACTCGCCCTCTCCCAGGCGCGCGCTGCGCTCTGCATGCCGGGATACGTAGTGAGTGACCTCGTTCGGCCTCGTCCGGCTTTTCCCAGTGCGGCGGGGGAGAGGGTCGGCGAGTCTCGCGATATTTGGGCGAAAGCCTCGCGAGAGTGTCTCTCCCTGCCGGTTCGTGGCGGAACTCGGGCACGCCGGCTGCGGGAGTGCTGTCGCCTCACTGCTCCGTTTACACCGTGCCGATCGCCCCACCGGCTCTCGCGGGGTTTCTGAGGCAAGTCTCGCGTAGCCTGGAGGACCACAGTCAGGCCTGAGGAAGGCTCTAGCTGTGGACGCCATTTTGGCTTCTCTAGATTTAGTCACCGGGTGCCGAGCGCGTGCTGAGCCTCTCCTCACCCACGCCAGCAATGGGGAAGGCTGCAAAGCGCAAGAAAAAGGCATCCACATCTTCAAAAGCCAAGGGTTCAGCAGGGCCAACCATAGCCATGGTGAAGAGCAACCCCTTTGAGGTGAAAGTCAACAGGCAGAAGTTTAACATCTTGGGAAGAAAGACAAAGAACGATGTGGGGCTGCCCGGTGTGTCACGGTCCAAGGCTATCAAGAAGGTAAGAGGACAGCAGAAATGGGGAGGGAGGAGGGCAGCTGTAGATGGAGAGGCCGTGAGTCTGGAGCCTCCACAGGTGAGGTAAGAGGCGCATCCCACATGACAGAAGTGATTGCTGCTGCTGTGGTGAAGAGGGGTGTACACAAATGTCTCCCTCCTGAGCAGTCAAACAGTGCTGGTCTCAGTGCCTTACCATGCTGTGAGAATGACTCTGTTGTTACTGTGAACTAGAGTACAGCAGGAAGCACAGGGGTTGATTATAAGTGTTCATTATCTAGATTTAGATGCTGCAGGATGTTGAGCTTCTTGATGATGTTGCAACATCACTGTAACAGGGAAAGCCTGAAAGAGGAGTAGTTTCTCATTGCAGTGGAAACTGCATAGATACAAAACTACCACTGACTTGGAAGACTAGGTTGCTTTTTGTGCAGTAGTTAACTATTTAACTATTACATTGCGAAAGAATGTTAAGATGCAAAGTAATGGTATGTCCTCATTGATAATAATGTCCATACAGCTTCAGAGAATTAAATCTCCCACCCTTGACCCTTTTGAAACTGTCCCCCCTTTTTTGTTGTTCCTTCTTCCCTCTACTGATATCACTGGCTGCCTGACTAAAAATCCATACTGCACAAGGGAAGCTGTTACTTCATATATATTCCAGCATTTATCCTTTCCTTGAGTGAAGCACTGGATTTTTTTTCTGACCTCTCCCTGTAAAGAAAACAGAAAAGAAATCAGAGTTTCTGTAGATTCTGTTAAGACTTAAAAGCTTTAATGTAACAGCTTGTACTGAGGTTCTCAGTGATGTGGACGTTGATGATGGACGCGATTTCTCTACAGCCACCTGAAAAGAGGTTGTAGCGAGGTGGGTAAGGCCTCTTCTCCTACTAGTGGTGGATGAGATGTAGTGACTTTAAGCTGTGCCAGAGGTTCAAGGTGGATACTAGGAAGAATTTCTTTTCAGAAGGAGTGGTGATGCGTTGGAATACATTGCCCAGAGAGGTGGTAGAATCACTGCCCCTGAAGATGTTCAAGACATTAGAGATGTGGCATTGAGGGACATGATTAATGGGTATGGTGGGAATGTGTTGATAGTTGGACTAGATGATTTCAAAGGTTTCTTCTAACCTTAGTGATTCTGTGATCAAATCTGGATAGCTACATGTAAATTGAATCCGGATGCATGCATGTCAAACATAATTTAAAGTTATAATGCAATGGAAAGGACAGCAATTACAGCAGAGCAGCTAGATCATAGGCTGCAGCAAATGAGGACTTGATTAAATACAACAGCCATAGGCACAGAGATAAAGAAAGGTAACTGCTTACCTTTGGAAGACCTCAGGTACATAGGGCTTTCCAGAGAGATACCCTTACTTCCACTACCAGCCCTTAAATGAGATCTGGGAAGGGCTGGATCCTGGCTCCAACCCTTCTGGTCACTCAGGTTTATTGTATACACCTGAGCTCCCTTGAGTTGTCCCTGCCTTCTCACCAGGTGCTCAGTCACTGATTCAAGTCGTGACTTAGCATTTCCACTACAAAAGTATTTACTGTAAATAAAGTTATTTTAAAAACTAATGCAGTGAAAGGAAATGAATAGTTTGTCATTTTGAATATATTGTGAAAGGTTATACATTAAAATTCTATGAATAGAAGTAATTGGTGAGAGAGGACATGAAATAATGATGAACAAAAGTGCTTTCCCATACCCAACTTAGTAAGATACGTTAACATTCTTACGCGGCATTTAAATTGTTCACTTGTATATGCTATGCAAGAAGTAAATTGAAGGTAGAACTTTGAGAATGGTAGATGAAACCAGGCTTCTGCAGTCAGTAGTGGTGGGGGCTGTAAATTGTGGATGCTCAGGGGGCCACAAACGCCTGTTGTAGAAAACCTGCCTTCTCCTTCAGCGCGCAAGTTTGGGAGTTCATTGCAGTACAAACAGCATTGGAGTACAAACCTGTCCATGAGATTTAGTTGACATCTCTTAAATTAGAGCTAATTTTTTTAAAACTGAACACAGCCAGCATTTTCTTTCTTCAGAAACTGTTAAATAACTTCAGCATTTTAGAAAATCTGATAACATTCAATTTTACATTTTAAGTTTTTCCTTCAACTAGTAAGGTAAATGAAATGTTTGTCATGAGTTACATCACTAGCACTTAAAAATAAGCCTGACTTCTTTGTGCCACAAGTACAGCACGTGCTACTTCATACGTGCCTTACTGCTCTCATGCCTTACCTCTCTGTGCTCAGCGCTGAAGGAGAGAACTGTTATGTATGTACCCACTTGGGTTTATTTATGTCTTGGATGACAAGACCAGAAGAGGTAAAACTGATACTTTTGTTTTCTTTCTTTAATACATTCTTATCTACTAAGCCTCAGACTGAAATCAGAATTCTTTGGAAGCAATGGTTAGTTTTCTTGTATGACAAAACAAGGACACGACACAGTGTATCGTATTTTGTCGTCTGGGCAGCTTGTAAGTGTAGCTCGTTACTCTGTGTTGTGTATTGCATATGCTTTCCATACCCTCTGAGTTTTGCATTATGGTAGACTGGATGATTCCATATTGCCAGGATGCCATGAAGCTTTTTTTGCCTTTGCTTTGAAAGCATTGATTCTGTTCATTTTTTGAACTTGATCTCCTTTTTTTCTTCTAGAGAACTCAAACATTATTGAAAGAATATAAAGAAAAAGAAAAGACAAATGTGTTTAAAGATAAACGTTTTGGTGAATATAACACTAAAATAAGTCCAGAGGAAAAGATGATAAAACGTTTCACTTTGGAAAGACAGGTAAAGTGTAAGAATGGGAATTAAAAAGAAAATTTGGGTTGGGAGGGTTACCGTTAATAGAAGGTTTTGCATGCTAATGTTTTTTGTTTGTTTGTTTTGTTTGTATGTTTTGAACTTCTATGAAAAAATGTCTGTTTATGGGAATCCAGAATGTTCCATGAAAACTTCCTGGTGTTGCAAGACAGATGTTTTTCTGAAGAAGAAAATTCTTTGAGCACGTCTGAGCTCTGATGTGCAAGCAAGCCAATTTTAAGCAGTTGTTGTTTGTCTTTGACTGTTGTAGATTTGTTGTGATTTGGAAATTGGATTAGAAAAAGGCAACCACCAGCAAGTACAATTTGAGATTCTAGTGTTAGCTGTTGGAGAACAGCCATTTCATTTGCTGACAGGAGGACGTCTGTAACATGCTGTCATTCTGTAATGTGAACTGTTTGTGTAGTACCATTCTTTCAGTTTTATGATACTCAATCTCCAGAACTGAATAATGTAATATTGTAGCCTGCTGGTGATTTATGTAAACTACATTTCTTCAGGCCAGAAATGGAATAATGAAGAATTGTTGCTAATAGCATACAGATAAAACTTAAGCTTTCTTAAGTGTTCTGAGTTGCTTCATTTCTACGTTACTGTAAGAATAATGGAAGCATCATACTTTCTCTCCTAATGTTTCATGTATTTTGGACAGAAATATTAACCTGGTAGTCACAAACACTAGAACAGCCAAGAACTGGAATGAGAATCTTCTCAACTAGTCTTAAAAATGCTGGTCTTAGTTTGTTGCCTGAAAACTAGAAATTTTTGTTATTTAATTGTGGGTTTTTTTGTTCTTTTTAGCAAAATTATGGAAAGAAAAATATCTATAATCTCAATGAAGATGAAGAATTAACTCATTTTGGACAATCTTTGGCAGAAATTGAAAAACTGAATGATATTATTGATAGTGATAGTGACACAGATGAAAGAGGAGCATTGTCAGGTAATTATCAGCTAATATCTCACTGCTCTGTAGTTTTTTTTCACTGTTGGTTTTGTTGTTGGTACATTTGCATCGTTTGTTTCTTTCACTGAAGAAAAATGTGTAAATGGGAGGGCTGTTGAAGCCAGATTACTACTTAAATACATGTGGAACAACTGTCAAAATTTAGCAGAAGCTAAGTTGGAGCTTGCCAACCGGCAAGTTTCTTTATCCTGTGTTTTTTTTCAGAATTAATGTGTACCTAGGTTTCAAGTGCATTGGGCAGCATCTGAAGTTTAAGTGGTTTTCTTGTACCTCTACATATAAATAGTAGTTGGAATATAGAATAAATATTCCTATCTCACGCAAAATGTTTGTCAGTATAAGTTGT